TTTTTTTGAATTTACCAAGACTAGATTTATGGCCCAGGATGTGATCTATTCTGGAGAAGGTTCCGTGTGCACTTGAGAAAAAGGTGAAGTTGATTGTTTGGGGTGAAACGTCCTATAGATATCAATTAGGTCTAGCTGGTCCATTGTGTCCTTTAAAGTTTGTGTTTCCTTGTTCATTTTCTGTTTAGTTGATCTATCCATAGTTGTGAGTGGGGTATTAAAGTCTCCTACTATTATTGTTACTATTAATTTCCTCTTTCATACTCGTTAGCGTTTGCCTTCATATTGCGGTGCTCCTATGTTGGGTGCATGGTGACAGTATTCTTAATGAGAAATTCTTTTCATGAAATACCATAAAAAGCTTTAAAATTATGTGTTTAGATCTTTATCTTGGAACATTGTTGTGAGTTTGGTGGTGGTGGTTTAGTTGCTAAGTCATGTCCGACTCTTGCAACCCCATAGACGGCAGCCCACCAGGCTCCCCCTTCCCTGGGATTCTCCAGGCAAGAACACTGGAGTAGGTTGCCATTTCCTTCTCCAGAATACTCTTGAAGATAGGGGATTTTTCAGTGATCTTCAGAAATAGAATCTAAACCTTTAACCACAAGCGTTGGAACTTGTTTTAAGTTTCAGTTAATGTTTAATTCTACATTCAATTTAAAAAGATTATATGGGGATTTTCTCCAATGATAACTTTAATACCTGGCCAGTAATCCAGTATGACAGATGAACATTTAACTGAACTAAAATAAATTTATTCTTTTAGAAAAGAGTGTAGATCTGTAAAATATGATAGTTACAGGATTTGGGTTTTTTCCCTTAAAGCAGAATCCATTTAATAGAGAAATGCAGACATTTTTCCTTTAGTGATACAAAGTTCTTAATTCCAAGTTTGAAGAGCTGTTGGTTTTATTTCATATTTTATATAATACATAACACATTTTTTCTAGTGCATTACGTGTTAACAGATTACTTATTTTTAAATGTGGCCTTTTATTCCTCTGTAAAAGTTCTTAAAATGTATAAACTTGCCCAGAGCAAAATATTTATTTGAAGATATTACAATAAATAGGTATCCTTCGAAGGCTGAAAGTTAAATATTAACTGTCTTTCAATTTTGTTGAGCTCAAATCTTTGGGTTGCTCTGTAGTCCACCAGAACTGCTACTTGAAACTTAGAATTTCAAAGAAATCTTTGAAGTACATTTGGTGCCGGATATGTGAAGTTATTTGATCATGCTTTGCAATGCCTTGTTGAGAAGACATGACATTGGGGAAAATTTTTTAAAGTTAAAATTATATATACTGTATGTGTCTTGAAGTGTTTTCTTTTAAACTGATAGTTATAAACCTCTTTATTTAAAAGTAGTGTTTCTTGACTTTTTAAAATTTGGATTAACACTACTTTTACCCATTGCTACTTTGGATTTTAATTGCCACACAACAGACATATTGGACCTATCCCTTATTATTACACTTTCTTCTTATAAGTATTGAAATTGTACAAATTCTATAAAATATGCTTAAGATCGTCTCTTCATATTAGTTAGCAATTTCAAGAGAAAATATTTGTCAAATAGTACTTTAAAAATAAGCAAAAGTAGTTCTGTCAAATGTAGTGCAGTTAACCTTGAGTATGAATGGATTGTACAGACTGGTGTACATGTTAGAAATAAGCTGTTGTGTAAAATGTTGAAGAGCTATATTTTTAAATAATAGCTCTTTTTTATAGCTATAAACAAGTTATATATAAATGTTGCTGTACCAGAGCATTGAAAATAAAACTTGTTTGTAATAAACTCCATCCCTGGTTCTCTATCATGAAATGTAACTGAATGATAATAAAGTGCTATTCATCTGCAGGTGCATTGCTTCTACTTAGTTAAAAGATGGTTGAAAGGACAGGAATTAGTAGCATGTTGTATTAGCCTTTTGTAGTGTATTTTGTCCTAAGCATCTTAATTTCCCTGTTTTGAATGCTAAGTAGTAAGGGTCTTGGTTTAGAACTAATACCCATCATGCATGTAAACGGTATGAAAGAGCTGCTTAGTAAGTTAACACAAAGTGTTCTTGTGTCAGTCCTTGTGGAAATAGATACAATACAAACATTACAGCTGAACCCACGGCAAACTCTATTAAGTAAAAACCTGGCCTCATTGTTCAGGAAAAAGTTTGAGTAGAATGCAAGCTCATTTTGTTGAATGTAATGTCAGGCTTTTAGGGACTGTATTGAGGGATAAGGTTTTGTTAAGTTGAGACCAATTCATTAAGTTTTATTGCCTGGTGAGAAGCAGTAATACTTTATTGTAAGACTTCATCAAATATTCATGGTTAAAGAGAAGTAGTAAATGTATTCAATCAAGTGGTCTTTTGGGGTTTTGAAAAGGATTATGAAGTCTGCTCAGCTGATAGTTTAACATTCATCGAGGTTGTTTAACAAGGGTAATTTTAATCTCTGAGTTTAATTTTGTTGTCCAGGCTTGTCTCTTTTTACTGTCACAAATCCAACTCTGTAAAAATTGTGTCACATTATAGGATGAGTGGATAATACATCCAGTCATATAATTTATGTATTTCCTAAGTGGGCATATTTTAAATATTATCTTAATTTTGAGTTTTGGCGTGAGGGAGTTAATGACCTGCTTGCTTATGGTGAGGTTGCCATTTGTTTGGTCAGACTCTAGCCTCACCTCACTACTGCTGGTGATCCTTTCATGTCTTGAATAATATACTCTTCTTGACACATGTAACTTAATAAGCAGCCATGTAAAATAATAAGCAGTCTTTTGTTTTGGCCAGTTCAAATTGTACTGAAGGGGTGTGGTCAGCCTTCTCTACATGATGTTAGAGATTTCTTTAGGGTTGCATTCATTCTTGTAGTTGATTTCAGGCTCCCCACCTCCTCTTTTTTAATTCTGTGTTAATAATCTTGTGTTCATCTCACATTTTTGTGGCAGTATCTTGTACACATGAAATTCATCCTTTCCCAATTTGCTGTGTTGACTTCTTTAGTTTAACAGTGAATTGAAGTTTTGTGAATTTTGTCCCTTTCAAAAAACCTAAGCATATTCGACTAGGTCAAAGTTACTAATTTCTGTGTGTGTCTTTAATCTCCATTCTTTAGGCAGATGATGTTGAGGGCAAAATTAGACAAATCATTCCACCTGGATTTTGCACAAACACAAATGATTTTCTTTCGCTGCTGGAAAAAGAAGCTGATTTCAAGCCATTTGGAACCTTACTTCACACATACTCTGTTCTCAGTCCAACAGGAGGAGAAAACTTTACCTTTCAGATTTATAAGGTAAAGATAGATCTAAATGTTCCCTTACTTTATTTGCCTGAAACTCGTATTCTGTTTTGATGTGTTATTTTCAGTGATTTATTCTAACTTCAGGAAACAAGTCTTTGTCGGCACTAAAAACAAAGATCTGTTTTGTATGTGTGTCTGTGTACACATCTTAATCTGAGACTTCTAAACATTTTCCCACAGAATAGTTTTGTATTCTGCAGACTTTCACTTACCTCTGTGATGAGTTTCACCTGACTTTTCCTGGCTTTTTCCCTAGGCTGACATGACATGTAGAGGCTTTCGAGAATATCATGAAAGGCTTCAGACCTTTTTGATGTGGTTTATTGAAACTGCTAGCTTTATTGACGTGGATGATGAAAGATGGCACTACTTTCTAGTGTAAGTACAGTTCTAAAGCAACAGTAGACCTTATTACCTCCACAAAGCCAGCATTTTAATTGTGGCAGCCCAATTATTGGGACAGTATAATGATATTTTTCCCAGGAAAGAAAAACTATTGTTTATGAGGCTTGAGTTTTCCTTCATTATGCTTTGGGAGACCTTGAGAATAGAGCCGAATTAAATGCTGTTGTCTGTTAGGGCTCTGAATGTAGGCTTAAACAGTAAAATGAGCTTTGCCTGTGTTTTCTTTTACTTGCCACCTATTCATCTTTATAATAGGCAAGTGCACTGAAGTGATGTAAAGAGGTCTGATTTATCCAAGTTGCTGCACACCAATTAAGTGAATTGTATATTCAGAACATAGCAGGTGTACCCATTGGGCCCTCACAGAGTAGCTTGCTGACACTGAAAATTCAGTCAGAGAATGGAAAAGAAAATGGACACTGCATGGGAGCGCGACTGTAATTGACCTGCTTGGCTTTCTGTTTTATCTGCAGATTTGAGAAGTATAATAAGGATGGAGCTACACTCTTTGCGACCGTAGGCTACATGACAGTCTATAATTACTATGTGTACCCAGACAAAACCCGGCCACGTGTAAGGTAATTGGCAGTATAACACGTGCCTTGTCTTTTATTTCAGAAGAAGGAACTGCTGAAGTTTCTAATACTTATTATAATAGTGTTGATTTGTTTTAAAAAATCACCATTATTCATTGGCTGTGTACTGATTTATTTCATTGTTCCTTTTGAAACAGTTTGGAAGATTAAATGTTTACAATTTTGAGTGTCTCAGTGATTTTTGGAATTCTTAAAGATGGATTAAAAAAAACTACACAAACTTTAAAATGTTTGTATTACTGTAGTGATTTGCAATCTGTACACTGGTCAGGTTGTAATATTTTAATATAATTTCTTTACTATAGTCAAATGCTGATATTGACTCCATTTCAAGGTCAAGGCCATGGTGCTCAACTTCTTGAAACAGTTCATAGATACTACATTGCATCTCCTTCTGTTCTTGATATTACAGGTATGTAAATTTTGTTACTGAAAGAGCGTTTCTAAATCTCTTCTTTACTAATTTTGATTTTGTCAGAAATAACTTTTATTTTAAATAGCAGCAGTCTCCTGTGGTCTTTGGAACTGTTTAAAGATGACTTAAGTTTCATTTTAAATCATAAGCCTTTGTGGAATTGGATTGTATCTCTGAGTATGAAGTGCTTAATTAGTTGAACAAATTGAAGATAATGAACTGAATGTAAAATGGGAAATCTTGGTCAGGAATATGTATGTTGCAAGTATGGTATAAATATTTGTTCAGTCTATTTCTCAAGCATTTTATAAAGTTGATTTATCTTTTCATCTAACTTTATTGCTACTGTTAAATGATTTGGAAACTTGGGAGATAAAGAAGTAATTACTAAAAGTTAGTTTATATCAAAAGTTATAAATTGACACTTTCACTAGTTTAGTGACTTGTAAAATTATAGAAACTTTACACAATAACACTTATTTTTAGCTAAGCTGAAAGTTGTTTAGCTTCTGTTTACTTATAGAGCTTGGACTTGGTACTACATGAGGGACTTCTTGGTGATTTTAGTCTGGAGATTAGGGTTTCCATAAGTAGTCTTTGTCCTCTCTAGTGGGTAATGTGCCAGCAGGGGTTGTTTCTGTGAAGCCTCTTAACCACTTTCTTCTGTCTACTCCAACCAATAAAGTCCTTGATACTTAGCGCCAATTAGCAGATAAAGAATTTTATTTCTTAAATCTCAGTGAAGAGTCATCAATAATGGTAGCCTTTATTCATTGCAAACTGAAGTCTCTAAAGAGAAAATGCTGAACATGTTAGAGGACTTCTGAATTTGAAAACTGGGTATCGGCCTTTATTTTCAGTGTTAACATTTCTTAGCAAATTACTAAAAATGACTGGTACATTTGTTCTCATTAAGATATTTCTCCTAGATTTCCATACTCAGCCTTTTTAAAACAAGGACAGCGTTTTCTCTCTTTGGTGGTTTCGGTTGTGTATAGATCCATTATTTTGCACATTTTAAAAGCTTTTTGGATCTTTTGCAGGCTCCGGATTTCCCTTTGCAACCCAGAATATTCCTTATATTGAGATGGCCATTTGCTTAATTGACATATAGCCAGATATAGTAAAAATTAAAACCTAGCCATTGATGGCCTGTGTTACAGGATAAGTTTTTGTAGTATAATTGTCACCCATTTTCTTTTTTTAGCACTTTTTTTTAGCACATTATGCCTCATGACTTGCAGGATCTTACTTCCCAGACCAGGGATTGAACTTTGGCCCTGGCAGTGACAGTGTCGAGTCCTAACAACTGAACCGCCAGAGAATTCCCTTTTTTTAGCACTTAAAGTAAAGTACTGGAGAACAGTTCTTTATATCATGTGCCATTTTCCTTTTGAGGATGTCAGTATCATAAGATATTTTATGATTTTAACACATCTTGGTTATATGATCTTACATATAGAATCAATGATTTATTTCTTCCAGAATTGCAAAGAGAGTAGCGTTTGACAGTAGAAATTCATCCTGGATTATTTTCAGTGTTACTAACCTATCAGTGTATATTAAGAGTTAATTAAATCTGTTCTTTAAATATTCCTTGTAGTACTGGAATATGTTACATGTCTTTTTAGAATTTTATCTGTAAATTTTTTATAATATGAAGAGTTAAAAGTTTTCTTTTAATGGTAGAAGAGTATTAATGTTGGTAGATGATGTGTTTACCTTGGGGGAAAAAACTCAAGTTTTGAGCCCATGTATCACTATCAATTTATATCCAAGCAAATTTCATCTTTTAAATGCATCACTTACAAATGCATCACTTATGTAGCATAGAAACAAAGCAATTGAAGGATGTCACAGATTAATGGTGTTACCATTTAGGTTCATTTTCAGGCACCTTTAGTTAAAGTGCTTAAAGATGGAGTGGTGACTTGGCCACTTATACTAAAATTAAGCTACAAACAAAATATTGTTAGTCTATAATGGCTTATTTAAACATGAGTGGAAATTTTTTTTACACAAGTTTTTAATTTATGTGAAAATTACAGAGAAGAATGTGGTGTGAGTTTTTTTAGATTCTTCTCAACTGTATTTCTCTTACCTTTGATGTGTTTTCCCCTAAAATTCTGGGGGGATATAAGTTACTTAAGTTACTTAAGCTTTCACCCATACTAAATTTTATTTTATATTGATATTAGCAACACAGTTCTTTTTTTCCAAACCAATTCAGAAAGAGGTAGACTTGGATAAGCATGTGTGTCACTATTAGCACTTAAAAAAATTTTTTTTCAAGAGATGCTTGCTTAAGAGTTTGTTGCCGAGAAGGAAATGGCAACCCACTCCAGTACTCTTGCCTGGAAAAGTCCATGGACAGAGGAGTCTGGCAGGCTGAAGTCCATGGGATTACATGACTGAGCATGTGTGCATGATGGTGGAGGGAGATGGGTTGGTAGCAATAAAGTGGTAGAACTAAAAAAAAGAAAAAGAGTTTGTCGCTTAGTAGAGATTTAATTAAAGCAGCTTTACTGAGGTATGATCTCCATACCATTAAATTCACCATTTTAGGTGTATATATAGTCCAGTATTTTTAGTATACTTGCCTAGTTCTGTGGCCTGTTTCAGAATATCTCTGTCGCCATAAAAAGATTCCCTCGTGTCCACTTGCAGTCAGTCCCCATCCCCAGTCTCCATCCCCAGTCTCTTGTATTGAGATCTGTGATCCTTTTTGAGGTAAAGTTTGCATTAAGTGAGGAAAGTTTCTAAATTAATCTTCTTTACGTGTGATCATACAGTTTTTCCAGCAGTTTGCTAAAAAGACTATCCTTTCCTTTGTTGAATTGCCTTGGTACCTTTGTTCAAAATAGGTTGACCATAAACGTAAAGATTTGTTTCTGAACTCTCTAATCATCTGTGTCTGTAGTGCTGCTGGAACCATACTGTCTTGATATTTTTATTGTAGTTTTATTACTGAGGTTTTGTGTGTGTGTGTGTGCGTGTGTTTTGCCTTAACAGTAATGTCAAGTTTAGCCTGTTAAATGCATAAGTTGAATTTGTGGAGCCTGTTTTGCCGGGGGGCTGTAAACTAAGCAGACATTTCTTCAAACAATTGAGTAGAGTTAGAAATGGGTACTGGCCTTGGCCAGGTGAGTGGGAATCGAGCAGAGACGAGGGACTTCAGAGACCCAGAGGCACACACTCCCAGAAGACAGTCCTGCTCTCAGTGACATCTAGACGATACAGACTAGGGCTGGTTGCTGCAAGCTCAGCATCAGTGGACCATGGGTTTGTTGATCTCCTTGGGACTCAAATACTGCCTCACCCAGCCTTTGTGGCCTTGCTTTTGCTCTCTTTGGGCGTCATGGCTCCAGTGGTAGCAGAGCCTTGATCTTTATGTTGAGTTTTGAAATCAGGAAATGAAAGTCCGTTGTGTTCTTTTCCAGAATTGTTTTGGTGTGTTTTCATTAAAATTTTTGTTTGTTTTCTATGTCATTGATTTCCACTTTAACTTTTATTATTTTCTTCTTATTGCTTTGAGATTAATTTACTCTTTCTAGTTAAGATTGAACTTAGGTTATTGATTTGATGTCCTTTTTTTCTAATAATATAGCTATATAAATAATTAATACTTAAATATTATTATATAAATACAAGTACTGGTGATAATGTAAATTTTCATAAATTGTGCTTTCATTTTATTCAGTTCACGTTGAAGTTTGATTATGATGTATTTAGATATGTAACACTATGTTTTTCCTAGTTGAAGCTTATTGAGCTTCTTGGATGTATAGATAAAAATTTTTTCATCAAATTTGGAAAGTTTTTGGCCAGGATTTCCTCAGCTGTTCTCTCTCTTCCCTTTCTTTGAGACACACATTACAGTTACGTTGGTATACTTGAATGGTTTTAATTTAGGTTTGTGTCAGTCCATTTTACATTTTATAAAGCTGCAGAGTACAAGTGAGGAAAACAAGGAGGTTATTGTAATTGTTGGAAAAAAAACAAACACTGGTGGCAACACATAGGAGAAGAATCAGAATGTCCTTCATGTTTCTGGGTGACTTGCATAACTGCATGATGTGACCAGATTAATAAAGAAAAGACTGAAGAATTAGACAAAGTAACTAATTACAGTGTTATGTTTATTTGGTGATTTTCTGTAGGTCTACATTTGTTATTTGGTTTACTGTTGATTTCATTTTCTGTGTATTCCTAATCACAATTTCATACCAAACTGATGCCATGACAGAATTTCACTTTACCACCTGAAAGCCATAGTCATATAATGTTACTTAATAATTACGTGTATATGAAGTGCTGCATAGAAGTATAAAGACAGTATTTAGTACATATAGATTGAATGAATGACTGACTCAATCATAAAACTACCTTTAGCTCAGACTCTTTTTTTAATACAAATTTTATTGTGATATAGTTAACATGTCATACAGCCCTCTTATTTAAAGTGTACAGTGTTTCAAAAACACGTTTACAGTGTAACCATCACCGTAACCTAATTTTGGAGTATTTCATTCTCCCAAAAAGAAACTCAGTACTCATTAGCAGTCACTTCTTTCCTCTTCTTTCCCTACCCTTTCAACCCCCCACCAGTGCTGCATAGCCATTAATCTACTTTTTGTCTCTATAGATTTGCCTATTTTGGACATTGGAATTGTACAATAAAATGACTGACTTCTTTCACTTGGCATAATGTTTTCAAGATTCACCCTTGTAGCATCCATTAGTACTTTATTGCCAAAACTATTCCATTGTATGGATATACTACATTTTATTTATCCATTCATCAGTTGATGGACATTTGGGTTGTTTCCACTTTTTGGCTCTTCAAAATAATGCTTTTATGACTATTTGTGTACAAATTTTTGTGTGGACTTGTGTTTTCATATCTCTTGGGTACACGTATACCTAAGAGTGGACATGGTGGAAAATCTGGTAACTCTGTTTCCCCTTTTAAAGAAACACCAGAAAACAAAACAAACAAAAAAGAAACACCAGACTGTTTTCCAAAGTGCCTGTGTCATTTTATATTTCCACCAGGAAGTACATGAGGATTTCAGTTTATCCACATCCTTGCTGATTCTTGTTATTATCTTTTTTATTTTAGTCATCCTAGTGGACAAGAAATGGTATTTCATTATGTTTTTGATTTGCATTTCCCTATGGCTAATAATGTTGGACATCCTTTCATGTGCTTATTGTGTGTATTTATATCTTCTTGAGAAATTCCTATTTAGATTCTTTGCCCATTTTCTAATTGGGTGGTGCATGTTTGACCTTTTCTTATTGAATTACAAAGTTTTTTATATAGAAAGTCTGGTTAAAGTTACATGTCATATATATGACTTGCGAATATTTTACGCCATTCTGTAAGTTATCTTGTCATTTTCTTAAAGGTTATTACTTGAAGCACAAAAGTTATAAATTTTTATATAGCCCTGTTTATCTACTTTTTCCTTAGTTGCTTGTCCTTCTGGTTCTGTTATCCAAGAAACCATTGCCTAACCAGACATCTTGAAGATTTACTTCTCTATTTTCGTTTAGGTCTATGATCTATTTTGAGTTAATTTTTGTGTATTGTGTGAGGAAAGGGGGGCCAACCAACTTCATTCTTTTTGCTTATGGAGATCCAGTTGTCCAAGTGCCATTTGTTAAAAGACTATTGTTTCCCTCATTGAATTGTCAAGGCACCCTTCTCAGAAATTAATAGGCCAAAAAAAAAAAAAAGAAATTAATGGGCCAAAAATGTATGGGTTTATTTTAAACTCTCAACTCAGTCCCATTGACCTACATGTCCATCTTTATACTAGTATCACAGTCTTGATTACTGTAGCTTTGGAGTAAATTCTGAAATCAGGAAATGTGAGTCCTCTATCTTTTGTTCTTTTTTCAAGGTTGTTTTGGCTATTCTCATTTCCTTGCATATCATTTTAGGATGAGTTTGTTAATTTCTGCAATAAAAAAAAAGCCGGCTGGGATTTTGATAGGGATTGCATTGACTAGTTGGTAGAAAATTGATACTGTAACAACTGTTTTATGACCCATGAGCTAGCTCAGACTTCAGCATTCTTTGTTTATACCATCTACTAATTAGGGCTCAGAGAAATGACATAATTTGCCTAAAGTCCTTCATCTATGAATGCCAGAACTGGGACTCAAACTCATGTTCTCTGACTATGCAGTGTTTTTTCTACCTATTATGTTTTGGTATCTTCCTTGTCCACTATTCAGTCTAATGTAGATAACATAGACAAACATAAAGGGAGATCTATGCTATTCAGATGCAATGAAGAAAGAATCAAAATCATATTCTCTAAATGAAAAAGTGTTTTGTAAAAGGAAGAACTTTTTTTAAATTAGGTTAAAGAAGCATAGAAGACTTTGAAGTTTATTAGATTAAAATAAGGGAGTTATAAACTTAGCTTTGGAACCCTTAGCTATCAGAAAATGGCTTTTGGAATTGATTATCCAAACTTGAATCTCTTGTGTATACAGCTGCTTTAACTGAAAATAAAACTAAAGTATATATGATAACAAACTAGTCAAAAATTTATATTTGAAAAGGAGTTCTAATTTCACAAATAATATATATGTATTATTTGCAAAAGGATTGTACCTATAACTTTATTTGACAAAGATGATAGTGCTATTATTTGACTTATAATCTTTCATATTGTAATTTTTGTATTAATATAATTCATTGAAGAATATTTGCCTTTCTAAGGTTAGTGTGAATACTGAGGTTGCAGATGATGAATAGTTATGCTGGGTAAATGTTATTCTGCTTTCTTTCTTTAGCGGAAGATCCATCCAAAAGCTATGTGAAGTTGAGAGACTTTGTGCTTGTGAAGTTTTGTCAAGATTTGCCCTGTTTTTCCCGGGAAAAGTTAATGCAAGGATTCAATGAAGATATGGCAATAGAGGCTCAACAGAAGTTCAAAATAAATAAGGTATTTTTATTCTGTAGAAGGAAAACATTTAAATTTTGAAAAAAATCATTTAAGCACATAATTTAAATGTTGAAAATACATTAAGAATACATGTGTAGGAAGTAGCAGTGGTTAAGAATACAGGCCCTGGGACTTTCCTGGTGGTTCAGTAGTTAAGACCGCATTTCCACTGCAGCAGGCATGGGTTTAATCCCTGGTCAGGGAACTAAGACTAAGATCCCACGTGCCAAAAAAAAATAATAATAATACAGGCCCTGAAGCCAGATTGCCAAGGATCAAATCTGGCTTTACCACTTGCTCTTAGAGCATATACTTCCTTGTGCCTCAATTTTCTCATTAATAGAATGGAAAGATAATTGACTTCATGGCTACATTAAGTATAACAAGAAAATGATTATTTAAATTGGTAAAGTAGTTAGTGCCCCTGGAGATTATATTGATGGGAGGAGGATTAGAATAAAACATTTAACTTTCACTTTTTATACTTCTAGATGTATTTGTTTGGATTTTAAAGTAATAAATATCTTAAGGTAAGTACAGACAAATAATATAGGAATTCAGAGGAAATTATTATATTTATGTTAGCAAGAAATCAGAATATTTCATAGTGGGGATACATTTGATCTTAGCCTTGAACAAGGGGTAGGTTTTCGAATATAAAAGTATGAGGGATGAAGAGTATTCCAGTAATGAGGACTAGCACTTAGTACTGTTGACCTCCCCTCCCTTGGCTTCTAAGACACTACAGTTCCTAGTTTTTCAATTAACCACTGTGCTTATCTTTTTTGAGATACTGTCACTGGCTTCTACATTTTTGTATGCTCCGTAAATAGAATTCTTCCCCAGAGTTTTTTTATCCAATCCTCATTTCTTCTCATTCTACTTAATTCTACCTGAGAGAACTCATTTACTACATCTGCAATCCAGATTTTCCTCCTGAGATCCAAAACTATGTCAAACGTTCACTGGTCACTGACCTTCAACAAACAACTTAATTTGAATTGAAACTTTCCATCTTCTCCTGCATAAAAACACTTTAATGGGTTCATGGTTTTAAGATAAAATACAATTTTAGAAATAACTTGTATCTCAGACTGTATTAAACCTTTAATTAGCTAGAATTTATTTAATAGCACTGATTTTAAGAGAAAGAGAATATGAACACATTATTGTTGAGATTAAAGCTCCTCAGTATGGCGTACAGACAGCATCATCATCTGGCCCGTGCCTGCTCAGCTTCCTCCCACTTTCCCATATGCTTTGGCTCTACTGAGCCTCTTGCCCTTTCCCCATTGTGCTACAACTTTACTCCTTTAATGTACCTGTGTATCAACTATTCCCTGTGCCTGATACCGCCTTCTCCTGTTTCTTCATCTTTGCCTGGCCAGGTAGTACATTTTTCAGGCTCAGTTCAGGTGTTTCTTCCAGAAAGTTCAGTATTATCTTAACCTATGTATACCTGACCTCTTCCTCACTCCCAATAAATACACAATGACAGAAATAGGAAAACTATAGGCCTACTCCTTTGGCTTCAGTGTTACCACAACTTCCTGATTTTTCTCGTATTTTTTTTTACTGTTTTTCTTTGTCTGCTCATTAACTGGCACTCTACTACAGGGTTCTGACCTCCCCCCGCCCCCACACCCCCAGCTTCACTGTGTGTTTTCCTTGGACTGTCTTAACAGTTAACCAATCTTAAGGTTTAAACTCCTGCCCTGTATACTGATATTGCTTAAATCCTTATCCTTAGTCTAGAATTTTCTTCAGATTTATACGTTCTCCTGCCTCATAACTCTCTCCTGCCCTGTGACGGCTTCACTGTCACCCCACACCCTCCTCCACAGTCAGTCCTCCTCCTCTTTATTTCTGGAATCCTTGTCCCCTCAGTAGTGCTGTTTGTGCTGTCTCAGTTACTACCATCATTTTTTGCCTCATTTAGTAACTGAACTTTCTGATTGGTCTCCTTACCCTTCTTTTGCTGCCATTTTCATGTAGCTGATTTACTCTCAGTATTTTTCATTTTGTGTCCCAGCAGTGTTAAACTACTTGTGCACGTGTGTATGTGAGACATGCACACTCGTATATGGTGGCCTCCCCTGTTTTAAGAACAGCATGCTCCCTCTCCTTTAAGATTCACTCAGGTTTTATTCCCCCAGGAATCCTTCTAACATCGTTCCCCCATTCTCAGGCTGTGCTGCCGTAATGTCCTGTGCACATTTCTATCACGAAATTAACCATACCTCATTTGTGTTACACAGTGGACCGCTTGCCTTCTTGCAGGCAGAGACTGTATCTTTTATTGCTTTTTGCCTGGCACCAAGCACAATTTCTGGCTTGTGGCAGGCATTCAATATATGATGTGTGCTTTTGGGAAAGTGTTACTATTTGTAATTTGAAATGTTCATGTTCTTCTTTGGTTTATTAGCAACATGCTAGACGGGTTTATGAAATTCTTCGACTACTGGTAACTGACATGAGTGATGCTGAACAATACAGAAGCTATAGACTGGATATTAAAAGAAGACTAATTAGCCCGTATAAGGTAGGACTTTGAAGAGTCTTAAAGATTATATTCTTGTCACTGTTGAAAATGAAGAAAAAAATCTAGCAAATGCCAATGTGTGGGAGAGTCCAAATCATTCTGCTAAATTAACTTTCACAAAAGTAAAAATATTCTTCCAGTTAGTTATAAGAATTCTGTCATAATTTTCCAGTGTAAACTATAAATGTTTCCATTCACTTAAAAACTAATCCCAAGGATAGTCTACTCATGGTCATTTTTTTCATTTGTATGCATCTTTTAAAAAACTGAATGCCCAGAATCTTCCCTAACAAATTATCTTGTTTGTTTTTTCCATTGTATATCTGTCCCCATCTTCTGCTAACATTTGCTTCCTTCTTCCTAAACGTGGCCTTGGCTGCCTTTTGTAACCCCTGTACTTGACCATAGCTGAAATCCCACCTTAGCTGCTGTTTACCTGTTTGTCATTGTTCTTGCTCCTTTACCTCCTGCTTTTTCCCATTTCCTTTATTTTCCTTTAGCTCAAAAATATTCCCCTCCTAGATCAAGTCTGGCCTCCTCATCTTTTGGCCATTATTAAGGTAGATATTGTCCATACCAACTTGTGTGGAGGAAGATTTGTGATTCTTGTTGCTGGGCAGTAATCTGATTGGATAGAATATTCATTTATTTATTCAACAACTAATTCCTGGGTGCCGCATTTGTATATACTATACCTAGAGGCTTATTATGCAGCACCATAGTTGGGAACACGAATGACAAATTTGAATCTGTCTTAAGGTTTAAGGAGAAAATCAGTTAATAATTAGTAAGTAATATATCAAGTGCATAGTTGTGACTTTTATGTTTTTTCTAAATTAATCCAAGTTTTATTTATCATAGATTCTGCTTTATAGAGCCAGTCTTTTGAATGTTAATAGTATATAGAGTCACACTACTCCTTGTTGAATCTCAGCTTTTTTCCTTTATCACATCTTATTTGCAGTGCAAATGTATTTCTTAATTTGTTATAATTCTAAAATAGCACATTCTGAATATAAAAATATTTATTTGCCTGAACTACAAATCCTTGTATCTGGAATTCATATATTTTTTTCTTCATAGTGCCATTTCATTAAGCAGTTTAATGGAATACTTAAATTTAATCAATTAATAAAATCAATTTAATTGATTTTCTAATTTAGGAACTACCATCTGCATATAACAGGTTGTAATAAATTATAACAACTATTCCCCAAAATTTGTCGGAAATAACATTTTATTCTTTATCAGTCTTTTATGTTTGTCAACTCAGAAACTTCAGAAAATTGGTAGAAATGGTACTTTCCAAAGATTTTGATCTTTAATATTAACTTGTTAGCTGGAAAATTTCTTCATGATGAATGAAATTGGGTATATAGAACAAATAATTAGATGTTAGCATGACAACATTTAAGAGTATTAAAACTTTTAGTAATTTATTAAATTATGTATCAGATACTTGTGACATTTTATATAGGCAGATGCAGCAAATAAAAGAAAATTTCTAAGTATAAATAGCAGTCATGAATTTATGCCAAATGGGGATATCTATAGCCCATGAAAGCAAGTATTGTCTACGCTTAAGAAGAATAATGATTTTTTTTATATATATTATTAAGTATCCTCACCTGTCTAGCAAGTTCACCTGATCTAAAAGACGACCAAAAACTGGTTATTAAACTATTTAAATTCTTAACAGCCAAAATCGGTATCACCATCCTTGCACTCATACAAAATATTAAATTCTTTAGATACTTGCTCAAACCCTATTTATAGTATGCTAATTTTAATGAGTTTAGTTATCCAGTATTCTGTCTCATTGAGAAAACCAAGAAATCTTGATCTGGGTTGATAGCCACAATGTGATAGAAAACCTACCACAAACTTGGTAAAAGCCTAGAAATAGTTGAACATCCTGTATGCATGGGAAGAGTTAGAAGATTTCTTTGTTGAATGTTTCCAGACGGTTTTCTCCAATTTGTCATTCCAAGCTGATACTCATATACTGTGCTGTGCTATCACAGCATTCTCAAATGCAAAATTATATTTAAGAATAAAGTAAAATTGCTTAATACTGAGTGTGACTTTGAATTTTTTAAAAGTCTTTAAAATATATGCCAAATGGGGAAAGTTTGGAATCTAGAATTTATGTTTTACTTTAACACATTTTATGATAAGAAAGTGTAACTTAGATTGTCATAAGTTATTACGGAGGAATGGAATTGTTTATTGATAGCAAAGTCCACCAATTCTGTGCTGCTTTTTTTTAAGGGCTCAAATTTTCATATCAGTTTAGTCACACTGTCCCACTAAGAAATTTTTTGGGGTAGATATTAGAAGTAGTTATACCGTACTTTAAAAGTTCTTTAAGTACTGATAATTTATTTGTATCCGTGCCAAGAAGGGATAAAAATAATTTGTATTCATTTTAAAAACACAAAAAGAAATTCTTTAGTACAGAAGTAATTTTCAGGTGTTCAGGAAAAGATAAATTTGAACAATTTGACTAAAAAAAAGAAAAGTTGGTGCAGCTGCTTGGTTTTAGCATTTAAATTTTCATATTGTTTCATAGGTATATTTTAATTCATAATTGCTTTGCAAGTATAAAATTTAGAATCATTGTTATAATAGCATTGGATTTGGAATCAGAACACTCAATTTTGAGGTTTAGTTTTACCTTTTACAAATTGTGTTGACAATTTATTAAAATCTGGGTATTAATATATTTAAATATAAACAAATATTTTTATTTAAATGTAAATAAATTTAGTTTAAATTAGTAAACTCTAAAATGGAAGTACTTTCATAGTGAGGAACTGAAGAGAAAGAAATAAAATACAATGTGCATGTTTTTAAAGATAGCCTTTTGATAAGTCTTAGGACTTGTTACTGTCTCCACACTATTATTATTTTTAAATTCTTGCAAAAAACCTTATTTCTGTAGTTCACAAAAGAGACTGGTTGAGCAGATAGAAACTAAGGCGCTCTTAGAGGTGATGGAATTTTTGAGATATTTGTAAACCTTCTTGGAACCTCTGAAAACTAGGCAAGAAGGAAGAGTTTGTTTTTTGGACCTTTTAACACATTGTATGTGTTAAAACCAAATGTTAACATAAGTAAACTGACACTAATATCTTTAATTTTTCTGCATTAATTAAAATTATCCACAGCCTTAATCTATGAAGGAATTAACTTTCTGTTTGTTTTTGGAGGGAGAAATTTCTTCTGAGCCTATAGGAGGTCTATTCCAGTCTTATGGAGTTCTGTCTTTCAGTATTTCATTTGTACTCCCAATGTAAGTCACTTGCTGGATAAAGGTGATCCCCAATCAGTTTAAACTATTTTTTTAAGTTTTTTTTTAAAACACAGTTTAAAAGATGAATTTATAATATTTCATACATTTACAAAGCAGTATACAGTTTTAGGAATATTAAAATCAAGAAAACAAATAGCTCAAATAACTTATTTTAAAAACAACCATAGTTTACATGCTCATGAGGAACTTCTACAATAGTTTCATAGTTTTCCATAAAGCTAGTACACGTATTTTTTATTCCTAGGTACTTAGAGCTCTTGAATTTAATTCAGAGATGTACTGCCATGTCAATAAAAATTATAATAGAAATTCTGACATCCATCTGAAAAAACTGACAATGAAATTGAAGGTGGCAATGAAGGGGGAGATAAACTGGGGAAGTAAACACTCTTAAGAGATCTCTTGTTTTTCTTCAGTCAGTACGTTGTGCCCGACTCTTTGTGACCCCATGGACGCAGTACACCAGGTTCCCTGTCGTTCGCTATCTCCTGGAGTTTGCTCAGATTCATGTCCATTGAGTCAGTGATACTGTCTAACCATCTCTTCCTCTGCTGCTGCCTCTCCTTTTGGCTTCAATCTTTCCCAGTATCAGGGTCTTTCCCAATGAGTCAGCTCTTCGCATCAGGTAGCCAAAGTATTGGAGCTTCAGCTTTGGCATCAGTCTTTCCAATGAATACTCAGGGCTGATTTCCTTTAGGATTGATTCGTTTGATCTTGCAGTCCAAGGGACTCTCAGGAGTCTTCTCTAGCACCACAGTTCAAAAGCATCAGTTCTTCAGTGCTCAGCCTTCTTTATGTATGGTCCAGCTCTCATATTGTACATTTGTCAGCAAAGTGATGTCTCTCCTTTTTAGTACGGTGTCTAGTTTTGTCATAGCTTTCCTTCCAAGGAGCAAGCATCTTTTACTTTCAGGGCTGCAGTCACCATCTGCAGTGATTTTGGAGCCCAAGAAAAAAATCTGTCACTGTTTCCACTTTTTCCTCTTCTATTTGCCACGATGGGACCAGATACCATGATCTTAATTTTCTTAATGTTGAGTTTTAAAACAAGTTAGTAATTTAAAACAGTATGTCACTGACACATGATTCATTCTGTGGGTTATTTGCAGCAGAATTGATAGTTAATATTTAAGAATTAAAATGATGGTTCTGTTGTATATGAGAATTTAATATGATTGGAGGCATATTCAGGCAATGGGGTTAGATTATTTTATAAATGTTATAACTGGTTAGCAGTTTAGAAGAATAATTTTTTTTCTTATTACATACCATGATAATTTTTGGATGCATTACCTTTTAGTTCCTGAGCTGTTTCCTTAATTTGGGTGCTGCCAAGAGGTAGTTGTGCCTCTTGGCAAAAAAAAAGTAACTTTCACAGCACAAACAAAGCATTTATTATCCACATGATTGAAGAGTAAGGAATATACTGTCCTTCCAGGCCTTGGGAGTAATAAATCTGAATTTTCATCACTTCTCTAGAACTGCTGTTCACAGTGTGATTAGAAGATCAGCAACATTGGGAATTCTCTGGTGGTCCATTGATTAAGATTGTGTACACACACACACACACACACACACACGTGCAGACACACACACACACACACACTAAATCAGCAGCATTAACATCATCCAGGAGCGCTTTTTAGAACCGCACAATCTCACCCCACCCCAGACCTACTGAATGAGAAACTGCATTTTAATTTTAACAAGCTTCCCAGTTGATCTTTGTGCACATTTAAGTTGGAGAAGCACTGCATGTCTTATATTCCAAAACTATTAGGGTTTCCTTTGAGAGAGACTTACTAGTTTTTAGGATGGAGTTAAAATACTGTTTTCAGGTTGTTTTTTTTTTTTTTAATTGTATTTGGTAGGCAGTTATATAGGAATTCAGAATACAGACTTCTAATTAGATCATCAGGGGTTGGAGCCTGGCTTCTCGGCTTACTGCCTCTATGACAAGTTATTTAACACCTGCAGCTTTTTTTTTCTTTATCAATTGAAGAAAGTTATAGTACCTATCTCATAGTTTTTAGAATTACATGAGTTAATATATGTGATTTCTGATCTCTATATTAAAGTTAACTCTCTATTAAATGTTTAAATGAAAGAGGATATAATCTAGAGCAGTTTATCCAAAATGTACGAAAGCGAAAGTCACTCAGTCTGTCCAGCTCTGCGACCGTGGACTGTAGCCTGCCAGGCTGCTCTGTCTATGGAATTCTCCAGGTCAGAATACTGGAGTGGGTAGCTGTTTCTTCTCTAGGGTATCTTCCCGACCCAGGGATTGGACCCAGGTTTCCCGCATTGCAGGCAGATTCTTTATCGTCTGAGCCGCCAGGGAAGCCCAAGGATACTGGAGTGGGCAGCCTATCCCTTCTCCAGCGACTCTTCCTGACCCAGGAATCGAAACAGAGTCTCCTGCATTTCAGGTGGATTCTTTACCAGCTGAGCTACCAGGGGAGTCTAAAATATCTGAAAGTTTCTCTACAGTGTTTTATATAATGCAATATTGCCACACACCTAGGAATCTTGGAGTCATTCTGCATTCTTTCCCCACATCATCCAATGTTTTCTTTCCTAAATCTGTTCTGTACCTTCCATCTCTGCTCTTACTAAGCAGACTTGGTCTAGGCTTTCATCATCTCTTGAATTCTTAAACTAACTGCTAACTTGGTCCCCTCCAGTCCCATCCTCAGCATACTAACCATATTATTCTGATTGTGACCTGTCCAAAAGTTGTTATCAGCTTCTTAGGGTGGTGCAAATCTGTTTCCTGAGAAATGGTAGTTTCCTTCTCAGTGAAATGGAGAGGGTTTAATAAGATAATGTATGTCTATAGACAGTAGAGACTCAATAAATGCTAATTAATATTGTTTTTTAAAGTGTGACAGTTTTCGTCTTATCTTCCTGAAACTTTCCCAACAGTTTATGGTAAATTAATATGTGGTCCATAAATACATCGCTGGGTCAGGGAACTCAGAAATGATAGTGGCGGAAGCCGCCAGTTTGGAATTAAGATTAATGTAATTAATGATTAAATTGATGAAATAATAGCACTTAATCTCAGTTGTCTTTCTTCAGTTACAGTACCTTATTTATTAAAGAAATATTTGAGTATCTGTACTGACCAGTTCTTTATTATGCTTTGGAGAGGGGGCTGTCACTCACATACCTATATTTACCATTAATTGATACAAATTCCATGTCTTTTGGAATCTTCTTTTTAGAGGGTTGTAATTCACATTAACATTATGTTTAGGCTTCCTTAAAAATGTATGGGATAGATTTGGGCATATTCCTACTACTATTATTTTTAACACTGGAGACATATTTTTATATCAGCTTTCTTAGGCTAACCAATAATCGTGTTTGTTACTTAGAAAAAACAGAGAGACCTTGCTAAAATGAGAAAATGTCTCAGACCGGAAGAACTGACAAACCAGATGAACCAGATAGAAATAAATATGCAACATGAACAGCTGGAAGAAAGCTTTCAGGAACTTGTGGAAGATTATCGACGTGTCATTGAACGCCTCGCTCAAGAGTAGAGGTTATACTTCTCTGTACAGAAAGTTTGCAGATTTCTGTACATGTGTTGTGAAAATCAGATGATGACTTTAATTTTAAAAAATCTTGTAACATTTTGCTTACATTAAAAGTTATCTATCTTTAGTTGAATATTTTCTTTTGGAGAGATTGTATATTTTAAAATACTGTTTAGAGTTTATGAGCATATATTACATTTAAAAAGATATAGCTTCTGAAATACCACTGCAATTACTTCCCTTCTTAAATAGTGTAATAAATGCTTAGTTATGATATGTTAATGTGTGCTGATATGATTCTTGAATACTTATGATTAACTTCTTCCATCTTGTTAAAAACCTTTAGGTTTTAAGCTTTTATTATTCCTCCCACACTTTGCTTCTAAGCTTTTAACACATTTCTTTAAGGTCTTCCTCGTAATCTTGGTCTTGCTATGTGATTTTTCTAAGTAGAAAATGTTCTTAAAGTAGAATTGTTTTAAATAAGCTATTAATCACTTGTTAGGAGTAGGGTGGGTAAGAGCGAGAAGGGAAACTAAATACAGCCTGAAACCTAGATGTTTGGCACCAAATATTAATTGAAGATAATTCAGAAGTTGCCATAAACATTTTATAAATAGTAAGATACAAATCAGTTAACAAAAGTCTAGTTTACACACTGTTGTTGAAATATGTAAAATGAGGTTGTGATTTAATGTAAGATTATCAAGATGTTGAAGTCTAAGAAGGGAAAAAAAAGATAAATTGCTTAATATAGTCCTTATTTTATTGAAGTAGAACTAAATAAGTTGCTTGATAGTCATTAAAAGTAAAGCCTTGATTTTTTTAACGTGTGCCAGTAAGCCAGGTATTGTATGACATCAAAAATGGGATGTAAGTTGAACTTTACTTTTTTTTTTTTTTAAGTTGAACTTTACTTTTAAAATCTGATTTGTTCAATGCTCAAGGCAAAATCCCATCTTGGACAAGCACTAACTTGTCCTTCATCAGCTCTTTTTCATCAGTAAATTCTGTCAAATACAGAAGCAAAGTGAGTAGTACCCTCTGGACACAAAATAGTTGTGGCCACCAGCATACCAATGGCACTAGAGCCGGACCCTTAAGAGTTTTGCGAATGTTTCAGTCTCATCTCAGAGGTTTATATACATAAAACTTGATTTCTGAGAGTACATACATGTACCTAAGTTATACAGATAGAATGAACCAATGCAAAGCCCTTCTGAAGCCAGATGGAAAAAATGTGTTTTCCATCTGAATTTATTATAAGATTTTAAATATTTTAATTTGGAAATTAACAATTGATGCCTAAAAATGAGCTCTGAGGAGAAAAAATCAGTACAATCTAAATAAATTATCTTTCAACATCCTTCTTTATGTAGAAACCAGAAAAAGTCAATGTGATACCAGTTTCTGTAGTTTTTTTAAAAAAACAATATTCTGTGGTTAAAGGTCTAGTTTATTAGCATTACTCTTTCAGACTTGAAAGGCTGTACTTTCATTTTGAGTTAGACGAGTAAGTCTGATATAAGATCTTTACTTAGAACAGGATAGTTAAATACCAGGATAGATACATAGAACCATGTATGAAGCCCAACGCAGCTACCTTTTGGGCTTAGTGGTCACTTCTTACACTGTGGTAGGAGCCTTCATCCCCTTTATCATCCACATACACATAGATGTACAGTATTTTATTTGCTGCCTTTACCTTTTTCCCTTCCTCCCCTCCACTACTATTTTTTCCCATTTCTTCTCCAAGTTGCATTTTCTCTACATATAATATCATGTTTCCTTTCAAAACATCAGTGAAAAACACTGATGTAAAATGAGGTTGTACTAGACTTGTCTCCAGGCTTCCTCCCTGTTCTAATATCTGTGCTTATCCTTTTTACATCTTTTCTCATCACTCGAGCTTTTCTACTCAGATGTGGGTATAGATGTAGTATATATCTAAAATAATTTTTAAAAATAAATCACAAAATTCAGTTCATACCTGAGTTACTGTATAAGAGGAAGAGAAAAACCCACTATATGTCCCTGTCTCCAAATTGCCTGGGCCTCAGCTTGCTGTACCAGAGTCTTGTCTACTCTGAAGATTTATCTGATCCACCATTATCTTGTCCACTAGAGTTTCCTCACAGCAAAGCCTTCAATGCTGTATCAAAGAAATAAAGAATCACAGACCTCAGAGGTCAAATGACTGAATTCTTCAAATTCATTCTTAAGTTCTTTTTATTAGAACTTACAAGCCAGTTTAAAAATATTAAATGCTGATTAAATAAGATACCCATACTTCTTCCAAGTGAAATTATTTTGTATTTGTATATTATCTCTGTATACATTGAACAGAGTAGCATTTTCTTTTTAACATTTCTAGTGTTTAAAATGGTTCTCAAAGATGTACAATATTTCAAGTTGAGGTTCCCATATTAAACCATTTGCCTAGATTTTTTCTTTTATTATTACAACATTCAAATGAATTAATATCTTCGTGTGTGTGTGTGTGTGTGTATATATATACACACACATATATGTATCCATTAGGTATCCCAATTCCTGGGAAGTACAGTTAACTGAGTCAAAGGGTAGGACTATCTCCATGGTTCAGTTATGTAAACATGTCATATTTTTCAGAATGCTTTGTAAATTACAGATATTAATGTTTGTACTGATTTTAACAGAATTTCAGTGGTATGGTATGTTGGTTTTGTTGTCTCCACAGATATAAAATCTCAAATTTGTATTCCTTTTGCTTAATGGGAAAGCTGAATACTTTTCCATGTTTTTGTGACATTTTTTCCCTTAGGAATAGGAATTATCCATTTCATTTTTCAAATTTGACTTTTAGGGGCTACACTCTCATTTTTATAGATAGACAACAGATCCAGAAGTTCACTTGCCTAAGGTCATACTGAATTAGTGGCAAAACCAGGACTATAATACCTGGCTTCCACTACTCCATTTCATCTTCTATCAAGTAGGCTGACCAAGTCGTAAGCATGCCAACCCCTACTAGGCTCTTCATAAGTGGTGCTTTCTTTTATTGCCATCTGGGAAATACCTCAGTTGCATGTTTGACCTAGTCACAGGACAAATACCCCAACTGTCCTCTGTTCAAAACCTTAAGTATCAGGAAAAAGGATGTTTGTTTATAATGACCGAGATTATTGGTGCCTCATTTGAAGCATGGCTTGAAGTTCCTCATTTCCTCTCAACATTTTCAGTTATTCAACATCTACAACTTTTATGTTTCCATATGCCTTTACATCTTTATTGTAATACATATTTCATTCTCCTTGTATTATGCATTGCAGTAGAGTCACACAGCACTTTGAATTTACTCCTTGACTTTAGGCAGAGCTATCTATATAAAAAGTAGTATGCACATAGTACAAAAATGTAAAAGTGCATACTGTGAAAAGTTCCTTGCCCCAAACCTTCAGAAACAACTGCTGTTTTGGGGTTTGGTGTGTTTTTTTTTTTTTTGGCTGTGCAGCGCTGCCTAGGAGATCTTAGTTCCCGGACCAGGGATTGAACCCACGCCCCCTACAGTGGAAGCACACAGTCCTAACCACTGGACCACCCGGGAAGTCCCTGAAGTTAATGGTATCTCGGAAATCATTAGAGTTATGGCTGCATGGTAGCCATTGTACAGATATGCTATAAGTTACTCTACCAGTTCCCTATTATTTAGGTTGTTTCCAGTATTTTCCATTACAAACAATGCTGCAATGCATGCACGTTCTTGTATATGTGCTGTGTGTAGAGATTAAAGTCCTAGAAATCATGACCTTTAGTCTGACCTCATTCTTACAGTGACTACACTACTGTTTACAGCAGTTAAAATTATTAACACCAACTAAGGTTACAGATGCTTGATCCTGTACCAGTCTAGAATTAGCTGTGTAAACAAGAGCATTTTGGACCTCTCCAACCATCCTCCTACACAGCTAGAAATATGAATTATCTTAAAGGCACAATGATTTGAATACTTAGGCATAGGCCCATGACTTTCTTTTTGTCCCTTCCTTCAGTCTTGCTTAGCTCTTCTCAAACCTTATCATCCAGAAGAACTGCTCTCCAGCAGGGTTTCTCATCCTCAGGACTGTTGGCATTTTGGGCCAGATCACTGCTGTGCTGACTCACGTTCAGTCTCTTAAGTTGTGACCCCATGGACTGTAGCCCTCCAGGATCCTCTGTCCATGGGCTTTCCCAGGCAAGGATCCTGAAGTGGGCTGCTATTTCCTCGTCTAGGGGAATCTTCCCTACCAGTGATGGAACCCGCATCTCCTGCACCGCAGGCAGAGTCTTTCCTGCTGAGCCGCCAGGGAAGCCCGCTGACCCGGGTACTGGCTGGTTACGAGCAGCTGTGGCTTCTACCCCTGGACGCCAGCAGGACTGCCCCCACCTCCAGCCGTAACAACCACGCATGTCTCCAGATCCTGCCACATGGACCCCAGAGGGGCAAAACCACCCTTGGCTGAGAACCACTGCTATATGGGATTAAATACTCATTGATTAAGCACTGACTTTTTAATAATGTAATATGAACACAGAATTCAAAATAAGTAACAGTATTTGAGAAGTAAACTGCCCTCCTTTCCACCCAGTCACCTAAGTCACTTCTCCAGAGGCAGTTACTTTTCCCAGTTTCTCTTTTGCCCCTCAGAGTTAATTACCAGTTTGCAAACATCCATCACTTTGTTTCAATACAAATGGTGATATACTACATGCAGTACTTAGAATCTCTTCCAGTTAAATTTAACTTATCTTTATTAGTACATATCAGAATACTTCAATTCTAAACATGCTAATTCTAAACAGTTGTTTGATACTTATTCCATAGTTTGGTTTCAGAGTCAGCTATTTGATATTTATTCCATAGTTTGGTTTCAGTTTGTTTAACCCAATCCCATATTAATGGACATTTAGGCCGTTTCTTATCTTCTGCTTTCATAGGCAGTGTTGCAGTGAATGTTCTTGTGTGTACTTCATTTTGTACATGTGGTGGGGGTATATATGCAACATAGTCTTGGAATCACTGAGTGGAAAGGCATGGACATTTTATACTTGGTAGATTTTGCATACATTTGAGACAATAGAGAAATCTGAATATGGACTCTATATTAGATGATATGAGATTTTGTTAATTTTATTAGTTGTGATCATGGTATTGTGATGAGGTAGGCAAATGTCTTTATTCCTAGAAGTCACATGCAAAACTATTTAGTGACATGCAACTGACATTCAAATGGTCCAGAAAAAAAGTATGTGTAAAT